CCTGTTTTCAGGGTTGTTCTTTTCCAAATCACATTGACCCTCTATTACTGTGCGCATTTCATTTGATGATTGTGCAACTTGGGTTAAGCATAGGTGACTATTTAGAAGGAATCAAAAGAAAAAGGGTTAGGAGAGCAAACCCAGCAAAATCGTGATTTCTAACTCTTCAGTGTTTGCTTTTTTAGCTCATCTGACGAAGTCAGATGCAGCTTGTAGAATCGCATGATCGTTCGTGCGTCCGTGCGTCCGTGCGTCCGTCCGTCAACAGTTGGGCACAAATCTTAACCGCTCGACGTACGGTCACGATATTTGGGACGTCGGGGGAGATCGTGAAAAGGACTCGGGATGACCAATTTGGGGTTCAAGGGTCAAAGGTCAAGATGTGTAAACGGAGGGGGAATATTTCCCCTTAACTTAAGGTATAGGAGGAAATACGAAATTGCGGCACAAATTTTAACGCTCAACATATGCTTTTAATATTCGGTGTATAGTGTGATGGGCAGGAAACCCATCACCAGTGCGAAATTGGAGGTCACAGGTCAAAGGGCATTGAGGGATTTGTTGACTGTTAACAAAGGACTGAACTGCTTTTGCTATTATTAGAGCCCATACATGTGTGGATGTGATGCTACATTTGCAGTTCAATTGCAAAGACAAAAGTTTGTTGAACAAGGTTTACACTCCTTAAATCATATTATTTTCTAAAGCAGTCTGTATATTAATAGCACCCTGAATGCTCGCGTGGCTACCGTCATCTGAAATATAGGCAAAAACCCGGGGCAACCCATTACTCATGCATGGGGGTGAACTGGCACTTTTCTAATAAACATGCATACCTGCAATGCAGATGTGTTTAATTTATTACTCACAGCTGAGCGAAATTGTCGCCTGGCTGAATATACTTGGATTTTAGCCTGTAAATTTCAGCATCGCAGTGGAATTAGGTTATCTCTACTTTCTTGACTTATCACCAATGCACGAAGGGCGATGCCATCTTTGATTATTGATTACACTTGCACGCGCCATCTCGCGGCAACTATAGGCCTAGTGATACGTACATTATGACACGAATATATAAGAAAGTCGAGCAGGTATGAAGTAGGATGCATTGTTAGGGTTTAGTTTTAGTGTTAATACCTAGATGCTACACAGTTTTGATGATGACGTAGCCGGTTTAGCGATAGAACAGGCTTTCAACCTTTTGCAGAAACGAAGGCCAGTACAGTAGAGCAGCAGACCTCAGATGAGCACTGTCGCTAATGCGGCACTTGTTATTTCATAGGATCCTGTCCAATGTAATAGTGGTTCGTGCCATCTAACAAGCTGGCATCAAATGCTCTCAACAACCCTACAACCAGCAAGGAAGATGGAAAAGAGCTTGATGAATCCGACTTGGAAAATGAATCAGTAAATATACAATGCAAGGAAGCAAGTACACTTACTGGTAGGCTTTGGTTATCACAATTAATGTCAATTGAAGTCTGCATGTGTGTGTGGCATGGCTCGTATATGTATTATATATTTTTTACTGGTAATATAATACGGAATATTTGATTTTGTGTCTAATAAAGTGTGTAATACAGGGCACGAAATTAAGATTTTTTTGCACCGGCCAAGAGTGCTGGTAACAGCATTTTTACCCAGCCCTCACCATAATTTACCAGCCCTCACAAATTTTGTTTGTAAAATCAATGTCATGTTTCACGCTTGCATTCTTGATTTCAAATTTGTAAAATGTTGATAAATTATTATGGCGTGATATCCTTCAGGTAAAACAGTAGTGTAGGCTATTTGCTCATTAATGCTATAAATAAAAATGTTGGTACTTGCTAACACGACTGAAACCACTGGCTCGGCTTACTGGCCTTCCAAATAATTTGCCAGCATATGCCGGTGGGCCGGTGCTAATTTCGCGCCCTGTAACAGGCGTAGAAATTAACTTTTGAACAAGGGGTCCAACGGGACTCCCTGCTCTTAAAATGAGGGAGTCTGCAGTCTGAAGTTCAAAATTAAAGATATTAACAACGCATGTGCTTATTTTGAAGATTCATGTGGTTGCACGTCTGCTAAATTTTCTTTCGACATTTGCTGAAAAAATATGGTAATTCCATGAGGCCGTGCTCTGGAATGAACTAGTTGGTATGGCAGAATTTTCAGGGAGTCACACAGACTCCTGCATATGTCAAATCAGGGAGTCCGGCAGTAAATCAGGGAGTATTTGACTCCGGACTCCCGTTAATTTCGCACCCTGCTATAATATTAGAGTTATATTAGTATCAAGCCAAGAAAATTATTCGCTATATATGTATGAAGTGCTATGCATGAACACCACATGGCCACGTGCTTGATTAAAATCCATATTTGAGACTGTTCATCATGTGTGAACTTACAGCCAACCGTAGGATAGCATGTTGTTATCAAGGAAAATTAGGTTTTATGTAGTACAGTGTTTCCCCTGCATTGACACGAGCGAGGCAGGCCGCCTCGCTCAAATTCTCAGCCACCACACAGAAATTTGTCCAAAACACTGCCTCGCTGACAAAAATCACTGTTGAAAAGAATATCACTGTTGGAAAGTCTCATACAATGTGTTCAGAATAGCTTAGAATGCACCAAATTGCACCATTTTTTCAAAAAAATGTCGTGGGGTGGCATGCCCCCAGATACCCCTAGCTGGGCGAGCACCGCAGGTAGGACCTCGAAACGTGCAAACACACCTAAAAATTATTTACCACCTCACAGACCTTTTTGGCCAGGGGAAACACTGTAGTAGTTAGCAATAATCATCTAGCAGTTATTTTTTTATAGAATATCTCGGTCGATATTTTTGTATGCTTGCAGATTTATGCTATACAGCAAACGTCCCAGAGGTGGAGATTATATCTCTGATAGAAGAACAGATACCAAAGTACACTCTGCGAGCAGACACGATCACCAACTTCCAGGGCTATACCCACGAAGATTGGTGGGTGTCGACTCCTGTGCTGCCCCCTGACTATGAGGTTGAGCTCTCCCCTGAACTGACAGATGAAACTTTGAAGTACTTTGGTGAGTGCTGTTGGATTACTCTTTGTTTGTAGGTACAGTGCTGCAACACAAACTAGCTATGAGTGTGAGCCTGTTTTTTGTGAGTCTCCCATTCAGGACACAGCTCTTCAATGAAAGTTAGTTATATTTTCACATTCAGCAAACATTTAATAGTCCTGGATTGTTAGGGGTGAAGTATGTACCTCATTTGTTGCTCCAGTTCAAGGGTTAATAGATAAAATTGTACCATAGACTGTCCCTGTTATTCATTGTTTCATGATGGTAAGTTCAATTGGTATGACGTTAGTGTGCATCTATGCAGTTTGTGACGTTAGTGTGTTCATGCAGCTTGTAGAATCGCATGATCGTCCGTGCGTCCGTGCGTCCGTGCGTCCGACCGTCCGTGCGTCTGTCAACCATTGGGCACAAATCTAAACGGCTCTACGTACAGATTCGAAAGTTGGGACGTGGGGGGTAATCCGAAAACGAGTTGGGATGTTGAAGCTGGGGGTCAAAGGTCAAAGGTCAAGAGGTGTAAAAGAAGGGGAACATTCCCTCCTTAACTTAAGGTATAGGGAGGAAATGCAGAATTGCATGCTCGTAATAGTCGGTGTATAGTGTATTGGGCAGGAAACCCATCACTGTCCGAAATTGGAGTCACAGTCAAAGGCAATGGGCACAGGTCAGATTGAGACATTTCTGGAGACATGCTGACGAGCCCATTGAAAATTTTTGTTTCAGCTGACCTAGCATTTAGCTTTATTGAAATGACCATGAAATGTACTTTCTGCTGACATGCAAGAAAGTGGATAACCTTTTGACCTCAGCAGAGTTAAAACATGGATTTGTTTATCTGTGCTGTTAGACAAAGAAATGACTGCCGGTTTGTCTAAAGTAAACTATAACATGCCTGTTTATGAGGCACAATGCACAGTGAAATTTCAAAGCTAAATGTTGGAGAAGGTTATGCTCCTTAAACGTATATTTCTATGCATTCGTACTTTCAGTGTATTACATTAACGTATTGCCACGCCAGTGGCCCACTGCCAGTGCATGTGGGAATACGTGTAGTTTTTGCTGCATTAATCGCTTACAGGTAGGCGCTCCTATTCAAGCTGAGCTGCGTAAGGTAAATGATGAGTGGCTTACCTATTCGTCTTGCAAATAGTTGTTGCCTACGTACGATGGAGCTTCCATCTTTAATCTTAAGACACTTAAACGTACGCGTCATCTCGTGGCAACTTTCATAACGATTCCAACGAACATTCCTTTGAGAAGAACATTCCTTCCACTGTTTCGGCGTGTATGTGAACACATTTGGGACTAACAGAGTTTACTAGAATCCCACCACTCCACCACAGAGTCAGCGCAGTAGACATTAGATGAGCGCTGTCGCTCCACGTCACTTGTTTCTCCAGCAGTACCATCTTTTCACAAATATATATTTATTCATATACTTAATACTTATATTACTTTACTTAGGCCTAAAAAAAGATGTTTGTTTCCGTTAACGAGCTGAAAAAAAATTGACACGGTAGGCAGGCAAAACTTTTTTTATCAATTTTTTTTTGGTATTCTAACTTATACTTGTATACAAATACTTGTTTTTTACTTATAATAGTCTATATAATTATGAAAAGTTACTTTAGTTACTTCAAAGTCAAATCAATGCATTCACCGATCGATATCACGTTGGGATTTTAAAATAAAAATAAAAAATAAAAAATTGATTGCCGATTCCAATAAAAAGTTTCGTCTCGGCGGTTTAAAATGGACTCGGTCGGGTTATTTCAACCATTTCAACCATACAAACCATTCATGCGTTATATCAACTGTAAGAATAAAAATCTAATGAAGATGTGGCATGTGTTTCTCTAATTTTGCCTGCATAAATAATGTAAATTTTTAAAAGACCTGGCTTAATTGATGCTTCTCTTAATGAACTGACACGAAGTCTACACATTTTGAGGAGCTACAGTACACTGTACTTATTCGCAAAAATTCGTCTTCTTCTAGTTAACCAGATACACGTTATACGCGCATAATCTGGTGGGCACTTCAATATAGGGAGAGGCTGCCCTTGCTCTAGCAAAGATGCGCGCTTATTTTGCCGCTGGGCCGTGAAATGCAAGAACAGGCAGGCAGACGAGTAAGTTGCGCTGAGACTGTGCGCACGTAGCTTGCGTCTCCACCATTGGAAATCAATAGCGTAGCTGGCATACTCCGCTCGTACACGCTGCAGACAACGCAGCCCCGTTGCTTGGCATTGCACTCGGGATGAAGCAGGCAGGTTTCGGAGCCGTGATGGTGCTGTGTGCATCGGCCTCCATTCTCTCTGTCTCCTGCACTCGCGCGTTCTCACTCGTCGCATGACTCGGTTCCTATATGAGTAACTGTGCTGGGCTACGGAGCCGTCTTGCTGGCCACCCGACGTCGCGGATGCACGAACACCTACCTACACGTCACAGGCGGCATCGTACATGTGATCGTTTAGCGCGACTGTCACCAGAATCGAGTGTGCTGCTGCTGATGCTATAATATGTGCACAGGCTCCTTGCAGTGCCCCGAAGCTATGTGACGGCGCTGGCTGGTAATAATAACTGTAGAGGAGTGTGTGTGTGTGTGTGCGTGTGTGTGTGTGTGTGTGCGTGCGTGCGTGCGTGCGTGCGTGCGTGTGTGTGACGCTGGTATCTTCTTAGTGTGTAGTGAGTGTAGTGGGTACGTGCGTGTAGTGCGTGCGTGTAGTGCGTGCGTGCGTGCGTGTAGTGGGTACGCGCGTGTAGTGCGTGAGTGCATGCGTGCGTGCGTGGCTGCACGACGTACAGTGCTTGTGCTGCAGTTGTAGGCGGCTTGTAACGCCTTACGAAATGTACATGCTCGCAGTGCAGCTAAATCTTCCTATTAGCCGCCGTACTGTATGCAGCACGTGTTTATGAGAGCAGTGTGTACGTAGGCTTCATCACTCTTCATCGAATAACAGCTTATATTCGTGTGTCAGTGAATCCCCAACCGAGATGTTGGAGATGCTCCGTCGTGTCAGGATGATCTGGGAAGAGATTCGTGATTCAGCGATGCTGCAGGATTCGTGTGTCTCGGGAAAATGCTGAGAAGATGACTAGCTGATGCAATAGTGCAACAGATTTCATTTGCAGCCATTTGTACAGCTTTTCTGCATTTAATATCAGTGCTACTAACTCTTCTAAGTGCAGACGATGTCTATTTTTAACTTGGCTCGGTTTTAATGAAATTTATTCAGGCATCCTATTTTGCGTCGCCCTAGTGATGATTCAAGATGTAGCTCTTAGAAACACATATATGCTTGTATTAGTATGTTGATGAGTTGAGATTATTTACTCCTGATATGTTTAACCCTCACACTCGTATATTTCTAGCAAAAAAAATGATGAAAATTTTTTGGGCAGTATAAATTGTGTGGAGGAAAATTGCTCAGTCTATGAGTAATGTAAAAGACTCCACTTTTTGCACTGCACATCGAAAACAGAATAGTATATATAATGAAATAGAAGAAGCAGCATTCAACCACGAAGATGGAAGTCAGCCATAACTGTATTTTTATAGTTTGTAACTAAGAAATGTACGTGTACTATTTCAGGTAACACAGCCAGTTTAACTTTAAGCGAATGTTTTCCGTTGTGTTTGACCCCAGTGGTGGGTTTTAGCAGCCAGTCAGTGTACTAGGGCTGAGAGGGTCTATGTCCCCCGGGGTACTGCCGGAACGTACCCTGGTACTATCTAATATGCCGGACCGTACCTCGCCTACTCTTTTAACGAGTCTAGGGAGTCGCCTATGCCTGCTCCCTAGCCCTAACCCTAACCCTAACCCTAACCATATCAAATAGTGACCAGGGTACGTTCCGGTATACTGGACCGTACCCAGGGTACGTTCCGGCAGTACCCTGGGGGACATAGACCCTATGAGCTGTACGAGGACTGGCTGGATTGTTGCTCGATGTGGATCACTGTAGAATTTGGCATGGGCTTAGCTAGCTCGATGACACGGCTGTGAGATGAAACATCTATGCATGTATCATTCACTACCATTTTTCCAGACATAGAGGCTTAGCTATGAACATTTTTGGTGTGTCACAGAACAGCTGTTACCGGCAGCTTTATCTGTGTATTGTGCACACGTATGTGTACTGTTTGAAAATTGTTTAAAGGGTCACTCGAGATAATCCCCAAAAGGGGGGGGGGCAAGGGGGCAGCTGCCCCCCTAGATTTTGGAGCAAAATTAAAAAATAAGCTTAGCTAATAATCGTAAATAACCCTAACGTGATTTTTTTGGTCACTTATCCATGAAAGCCTTGTCTCAGACCCACCCCTACCACACTATGGACGCCGATTAAGAGCTGTGCCTGTCGCTTATCATTACACAGTTGAGCCATGAAATTTTGCTCCTCCCCCCTAGGAATTTGCTCAACGTACGGCCCTGATAGGTGTCATTTAGGTTCGACTTTATTTAGGTTTGACTATATAGTATATATATGTAGTTATTATATGTATGTTTTATTAATTAATAGTGGTCTGTCATGTAATTCGTGGTGATCCATAGGTTTAAAGGTGTGTAAACATCGATCTCATCCTGTTTCCTCTGTCACATTTACCTCAATCTATCTATCGATATTATCTGTCTATCTATCTATCTATCTATCTAGCTATCTATCTATCTATCTATTTATCTATCTATCTATCTATCTATCTATCTATCTATCTATCTATCTATTTATCTGTCTGTCCGTCTGTCTGTCTGTCTATCTATCTATTTATCTATATCGGTTGCTGGGGACTCTATTACGTAGGAGAAGCTCTCACATTATATCATTACACAACTCCTTAGAGGTTTTGTCACTTTTACACTACAGGTGGAGCCACTCGTGGCAATTGATTTTCTTGTGTATTTTGCTGTTGACCTCTGTCAATCAGTAGGTTTATCTGCTATAGCAGGCAAACATCGTTAATTAACGTGTGCATGTTGCAACCAAATCAACCTATTCCTACATTTTTTAAGCTGTTTGTCGAATAATGAATGCTGTCAAAACGGAGCTATATAAATGAATAATTGATAATCATAATTGATATTTCAGGTCATGCATACTAAAGCATGCCCACGAAGGTTCAAAGGCTGAAGAATAATCAAATTTTATGTGCTTTAGGAAAGGGGGCTTGATAGAAGGGTTATATTATAGGTTGATTTATAGAAAAGTTTGGTTAAGCATTGTAATTTTTAATAAAATCTTATCAATGTCTGCAGTTATGTTTTTAAGCTCATAAATTCATATATTATATTATATAAGAGGTTTTAGATAGCTACACGTTAGACAGAAGCAAGCCAGGAGCAACTAGCTAGTGCCACAATTTATCTTCCCCATCCCAATTTGTCATCTTCGACATAGTTCCACTCAACTGCTGTGTGTGTGTGTGTGTGTGTGTGCGTGCGTGAGTGTGTGTGGTCAATCACATCACCTGGCTTGTTGAGCCTTGTGGGGTAGCATGTGTGGCTTACAGAAACCAATTACGGAACCCGGTACGGAACAACCCGATATTACCTAGTTGACTGGATATTATTTGAGTAGAATCCCCCTAAAAAAAGAGTTCTGCTGAAACTGTCTATTGCTGAACGTTTGATCTAAAACAACGTGGTTGTTGCTCGTTATCCTCGCGAAAATGCTTGAGTGGCACACTTTTCCAGTACGAGTAGTCTCAAGGGGAAGTACCAATAAGTATTAATTGTAATACGTTGCTAGGCAGCCAGTTGCACTGCCTCATCGCATCATGCGGCTGCGCATTTAAAAATCGGGTGAATGGGTGTCTCGCGTCAGTTGTGCGTGTGAGAGGTTGGAGAGGTGTAGTTAGCAGTTATAGTTATGCGCTAGGAGGCCGTGATCGCACACCAGTCGTTTCGTGTTCTTCTGTAATATCGCATATAATCCTCTGCATCAAACTGGTTGCCAGTCGATGTGAAAAAGATCTGAATCTTAAAATATGTGCCATGCCGAGGACAAGGCGGCGTTTTCCTCATTGTGGAACCTGCGCTCGAGAATTACGCTTCACCGCACGGCACAAGTCGTGCGTAACCGAGAAAATTTCCCATTCTTCATTCGTAGGTGTATCTCGATTTCGGAAGTCACGGATTGAGAATGCTTTGCACGCAGGTTCGCATGCAGCCGTAGTTCTGTTGTTGTGCAGAAGTGTGTGCACCATGTCGGGTGGGATTCATATCAGCCTTGACTTTGTGAGAAAGTAACTGGTCGATGAATTGAAACTAGCTGTGATATCACCAACGAATGACGTTTTTGATGATACCAGAAGAAAACTCCCTGGTTATAGCGTTTACGTTTTGCCAGTGTGTAACACTGCCTGGCAGCTAGTGTGGATGCTTTGCGCGCGTGTGAAATGTGTTCGTGCGCAGTTGCGCAGTGGTTGTTACGTCACAACGCTCGATACTGTTACCCTGAACGTGTCGCCCGTGTGAATCGGTTGACAGAAGGAAATCAGACAGTGGGAGACTTCGTGTAACGACTACTGAGAAGAAGTCATATCACCTGACAGTCGCGATGCTGAGCTTTCTCCGACCTCCGTGTTAAAATGTGGCTAAAACAAAGTTCATGCCACTACAAGTGTTGACTTGGCTGTTCCGCCCTTCAGTGTCACCGAGCGCAATATATATATATATATATATATATATACGCATATATATATATTTGGTGAAACATATGAAGTCGTGACAGTGGTGGTGTGAGTCACGTGTCTTCAATTCGACGTTTAGACTTGGTATCGCACGATGTCTGACATTGGCAGTGGAAATACGAGTCCTGTTAGCAAGACAGAAAGCAAGCTTGTCCAACTCTCTTGTAAGTACATGTAACTCACTCACCCACTATGATATGTAGGTATGCACTCGCTCTCTCTCTCTCCTCTCTCTCTCTCTCTCTCTCTCTTTCTCTCTCTCTCTCTCTGTACTATAAGTACCCACTCTCTCACTATGTATGTACTCACACACATGTATGCTCTGTCCTAACGTTGACCCTAACCATATCCCTAACCATAACCCTAGCCCTGACCCTAACCCCAAATTGCTCTGTTCTGTAACATTCTTGACAGAAAACCTTACCAACTAGTTGTGCACCAGATTGTGTTATTGTGGGGACGCTCACTGCACGGCTAACATTTCGTCATGCATAATAATGTTCTTATCTGTGTGTCTTGAGGTTGTTATGTATGTTTTTTTGTTGTAATTTTTAGTTTAAGCACTTTGATAACAGTCTGTCGGAAACTCGTTTCGTGATATCTGCATGTGTATCCCACGTGTTGTCCTCGTGTGCGGGGCGAATATAATAATCCAGAAGTTGTTCACTATACGTGAGAGCGCAGGTAATAGTTACACCTACTATTAGAAAGGGAAATTGGGCTGATCTGATTTTTTCGCGATGGCTGCACGAGTGCGTTACTCAGACAAGGAACTGATGTAATAATGTGCTCTGGCGACGTAATCTGGAGAGGTAAACAGGTAAAAAGGACCAATTGATGAGAGTGAGCTTTTCAGCTCTGACTGTTGGTGTTGCTGGGTAGTAGGTGAACATCTTTAGCTATCTACAGGCTGGTGTTAACGGTAAATGAGTTCCCAATTTGTGAAACTGTTCTCTGACTTCCCTCTCTCTCTCCTTTCCTCCCTCCCTGCCTCCCTTCTTTCATTCTTCCTTGCCTCCCTCACCATCACCCTCCCTCCAACCTTCCACCTCGCTTTCCCACAAATCCCCTCTTTCCCTCCCACTCTCGCCATCCACTGGCTTGCTCTCTGACACCTTTCCTAACCCCTTTCTCTCTTTCTTCCTTCTATCACTATCTCCCTCTGTCTATCTATAAATATCTACCTGTATATCTATCTATCTATCTATCTACTTACCTATATGTATCTACCTATATCTCATTCGCTCTCTCTCTTTCTCTCTCTCTCTCTCTCTTGCTCGCACCCTCACGCTCTCTCATGCGCGTACACACGCACTGCAAACGCACTGGACTGAAACGACATAGAATTGTCTATTCTGTTGTAAATGCAAAAATACAGTACAGTTGATGTAATATTTTTTTAATCTAGCATCATTAATTGGTGGCAACTGGCATCATGTATAGTGTAGAGACAACAAAATAGGCAGTAACAAACAAATTTGGATTGTGTATTTGATTTTTCGAACTGTACCTCCGTGCACATGATTAATACGCGACTTGTAACATAATAAGTTATAACATAATAATCTATTAACATAATCTGTGCCAAACACAAACTCACATGATTACCTTACATTCGATTTTAGTTTTACATACAAGAAGAAATGTTTACTTAAAAACAGGACTGTATTTAAATTGATCTTTTGTCTAATATCTTATATTATATGGGTTTTTATATTCAGTTGTTCAATGAAATTTCTCTGGTTTTTATCAGTGACTATCTACCTCTAAAATTTAATTGCAAAAATATTTTAATTATATACAATGCAAGTTACATATGCATCTTATCAAAATTGTTTCTGCGCAGTGAAAGAACTAGAGCTAAAGTGAAGCCGGACGGATTATTGTGGTTAGCTATATTATTTCTGAGTGATGATATACCAGTTTTGTAAATTCTTACTTTTTATCCAAACGTGGATGCTTTTTGTTATGTCCAATAACAGTGATAATATTTTATTTCCCTAGCTAATAAACGCTGGTGCATTAAGGTAGTCTAGTTTTACACCGTGTCTTTGATATGAACGATCAAGCTTATGTCCTAAATCCTTACTCTCACTGTCGCCTTGATATCCAGTTCCAGTCCTAGTTGAAGGAACTTGATGACCCAGACTCAGCCCTGCACTGGCGCCTTGATATCCAGTTCCAGCCCCTGTTGAAGGAACCTGATGACCCAGACTCAGCCCTGCACTGTCGCCTTGATATCCAGTTCCAGTCCTAGTTGAAGCAACTTGATGACCCAGACTCAGTCCTGCACTGTCACCTTGATATCCAGTTCCAGTCCTAGTTGAAAGAACCTGGGGTGCTAAGCTCTGTCCTGCATTGGTTTCTTTATATCCAATTCCAGTCCCAGTTGTAGGAAAACGGTGTCCTAGACCCAGTCCTGCACTGGTACCTTGGTATCCCAGTCCAGTCCCAGTTGTATGAAAACGGTGTCCTAGGCCCAGTCCTGCACTGGTACCTTGATATCCCAGTCCAGTCCCAGTTGTAGGAAAACGGTGTACTAGGCCCAGTCCTGCACTGGTGCCTTGATATCCCAGTCCAGTCGTAATTGTGGGAAACTGACGTCTTATACCTAATCCTGCAGGGGAATATTGGTATCCCACCCCGACTCCATATCCACTCCTGTTATGACCTCGCCCAACTCTGAACCCGGCTCCAAAACCTAGACCTTTGTAACCCCCTGCAGCCCCAAACCCAGCCCGATCATCTTCTACTCTAGCTCCAAAACCAGCACTTTCGTATCCCACTCTACCTCCTGAGTGTCCTACGCTGCCCCCTAACCCAGCATTTGGGTGTCCTACTATGCGACGTACCAAAACAGTTGGGGGATGGACTTGTCTTCCCAACCAAACATTGGGGTGTCCTACTCTAGCTTCGAATCGAACACTAGGGTGCCCTACGCTGCCTCCTAACTCAACACTTTGATATCCAGGAAGTGCTCCTAACTCAACACTTTGATGACTAAGACTGGCTCCCTGCGGCTGCCCGTCTGTCTTTAACTGATCCGTGAGAGTGGCATCATTAGTATAATCTGTCTTACTGCTATCTGTCAATCCCCATATGGGTTGCTGGATTTCATAGTTGTATAGTGTCTTTGGCTGTGCGTAGTTGTATCCGTGTCTGTAACAGCAAATGGTTACATAATTTGTATAAGCAGACCTCCTCTGCCTCACTAACTGAAGTAGCATTGACACTGACTATAGACGACCCATCATTTAAAAAGGAATCGCTGCATACGTGCAAGAAGTTGCAACCTTTAAAATTTCTAAAATATGGTTCACGAACAGTTGTGAGATCAGTTGTTTTTGCATATATGCCGACTTACCTGTGGGTGTATTCGTAGGTTTTCTCCTTCCTTGCAGTCTGGTCAGCAGTTGCCTGATCAGTGCTATAAGCCTTCCCATCTGCCGTGCCATGCCGGGTGTAGGCAAGGCTCTCTGACCGCTGTCCAGAGCCGGACACTCCGCCGTTAACTTGCGGACCGTACGTGTGCGTGACGAGCTTAGTAGGTTTAGGCGTGTTCTCGTATAATCCTTGTGCAATAGCCATTATAGTCATAAGGAGGGCAACAGTCGCCGATCTCATGGTCACCTGTTAGAGAGAGAGAGCGATAGAGAGAAACGTGATTTATAAATATCAGAAGCTAATAAGTATTATTAGCTCGTGTGAATGTGTACATGTGTCCATGTGTGCAAGTGTGAAATTTACTCCCGTAATGTGTGTGTGCGTGTGCGTGTGCATGTGCGTGTGCGTGTGCGTGTGCGTGTGTGTGTGCGTGTGCATGGTCTACTACGGTTTAAGTGCTGTTATCAAATGCAGCTTTGATGACTGCACTAAAGTGTGGTACACGTGATGAATACGGACTTCATCAATACATGTAAATTTAGTTCTTAGTATACTCCGTCAATATTTGCCACGAATGCTGATCGTAGTGAAAAAGACATCCTCCATTAAAAAACGACGGACAGTAGTCAAAGGTAGGGTACGATGTATCAAATCATTAAATTTAATGTTTCTGTAATTGTTACAAAATATATTAACGTACAAGGTTTCATTCAAATTATTTATAATTCGATTTTATAATTTCAAAACTGGTTTAATATTGTACCTAAAGGCCATAAAATGTAAAAAAATACATTATAATCTATAAAAAATATACATAATCTCATTCTCCAATCGCTTGGCAGATGTGCCTTCATCACATTTGACTTTGTATCTAATAATTTTGCAATTAAAAAATTTTGAAATGCTTGTCATTCTCCTCTCTGAAACATGGACCGACACGTTGGAAATCACATATCCACTGCTAACTCCATCGCTACAGGTACTTTGCTTATCAGAATGGGACTCACCTTTAGCTCTGCTGGTGTGGGTGTGTGTGTTCGATTGCCGCATAAGCCTGTCTGCCATCGGTTCCCGGACTCCCCACACCTTTTATACGTGAATTCGTCATCGGTGACATGGTGGCAACGTGAAGCAGTCTACTCAGCGCCTTTGTCTTTGACGCGATTGACCAAATAGTGTCTGACAACTGTCACAGCTAGTAATTGCGGTTATATGACATGGCAGCACGCTCGTACGTGGAGAAGAATTCCACTGCAGTGACACGGCCGTCAGTGTCATTTCTGCACGCGATTACACGGTAACTGCAGCCTAATAGTAATTTCTAAACACCCCACGTGTCAAATGTGCGTGAAAGTGGTCGTATTGCCCGTAATGTGGCTCGTCGCTTATGCAACAGTGTGGCACATATACATAAATTATACTTAACCTTTAGGTTTATGGCCGGTGTGCGAACGCAAAAGTGAAAGGGACAGTTGCCAGTCAAGACAGACTAACACGCATTAGGTCTCTGCTATGATAGTCTCACGTAATTTATGCGGTTTATTCCCATTTCGCTATTTCCCACTTCGCCATTTGCCATTTCGCCATTAAAAATTCCCACTTCGCCATTTGCCATTTCCCGTTTCCCCAGTTTCCCATCTCGCCAGTTTCCCGTTTCGCCAGTTTCCCATTCCGCCATTTCGTCCTATCTCCCCGACCACCCCCTTGTTCGAGGTGGGTTAAAAGTAGGCCTCTGTAATGAATAAATTATAACGAATCTTTAGATATGGAGTCGACTATTTATTTGAAGAACAAGAAGGCGAAATCGTACATATCAAAACATATGGATCATGTACAGGCACCCTAAAGCCCAACGCACACACCCGAGCAAAACACCTGAACGTGGAGCAAAACATGTTTCGCTCGATGTTCGTGGCTGTGTGCGGATTCCCGAAACAAGAAACATTGCTCAGCTGAGCGTGTTTCGCTGAACAAGCAATGTTTGATTTGCGGAGCGTGTTTTCGCCTGAGCGTACGTTTTGCTCGGGTGTGTGCGTCAATTGTTCTGCTATACACATCGAAACGCCACAGACGGTATCCAATCAATATCCTTAAAAATATCACATGACACACAAAATTGGATGTTCATGGATGGCTATTTTTGATGTCATGTGACAGCGGCGCTGTACGCAGTGTTTCTGTATGCTTTGCTCAGCTGTGTGCTGTGTCGGGTGGCGTGTGTGCGCTTGCTCGCCGAGCAGAACGCGAAACGCTGGAAAACAAAATTTCGTTTCGTGTTTTGCTCTGGTGTGTGGCGTTGTGCTTGTAAGCGCCCATATAAGAGTACCGTGTTTATGCGCGTCCGTGCTCGCCGGCGTATAGGTACCTGTTATGTGGCGTAGGCGTGCTCGCGCGCGTATATAGCTTCTGTTATGTGCGTGCGTTCTCGCGGGCGTATAGTACCTGTTTATGTGGCGCGTGCTCGCTGCGCAGTATATAGCTACTCTGTTATGTGCGTGCGTTGGCGCTTCTCAGCGGCGTAGTAGGTATCTGTTATGTGCGGTGCGTTCTCGCGGCGTATATAGCTTCTGTTATCGCGCGTGCGTTCGCCGGCGGGCGTATTAGCATATCTGTGGTATGTCGCGTGCATCGTGCTCCGCCGCGCGTATATAGCTATCTGTTTATGTGCGCCTGCGTGCGTTCGCTCCCCGGGCGTATAGGTATCTTGTATGTGCGTGCGTTCTCCGCGGGCGTATATAGGGCTTTCGTATTATGTTGCGTGCGTTCTCCCGCGGGCGTATAGGTACCCTGTTCATGTGGTGCGTGCTCGCGGCGCGTCATCCTACCTAAATCTGTTTATGTGCGTGCGCTGCGTAGTCCGTCGCGGGGCGGTATAGGTACCCTGTTTTTATGTGCGTGCGTTTCTCGCGGGCCCCGTATAGGTACCTGTTATGATGCGTGCGTGCTCGCGCGGCGTAATAGGTAAACCTGTTATGCGCGTGCGTTCTCGGCGGAGCGTATAGGTACCGTTGATGTGCGTGCGGTGCGGTCGGGCGCGCGTATATAGCTATCTGTTATGTGGCGTCGTCGCGA